TATTTTCAACTCTTCTGTGCCTCTCTGATAGAATACTAAGTAACTGATCCTTGTTTTTTGATGATCAGGAACATTTTATTTTCTTTAGTCCCTCCTTCTGGCCCTAGAAAATCCTTAAAGGATTCTTGGGCCATATGATCAATAATGTCTTATGGAGCAATCCCTGCCCATAGTATACATACAGAACTGCTAGCACCATGCTCCTGCTAGGGATGGGGCACAATCTATTTCTGCTGGCATTTTAGAAAGAGATGGCAGTCCAATTGCCTTGTGTGTGTGACTTGTCTGCTTCTGGTTGCCTGTTTTTCTTGAATCTGTTATGATAAATTTGGGTAAGAATCTCTTAAATCCAGATGGTAGAAGGGTTGTCTAGGTTGCTTTGAAAGTGTCATTTCTGTACACACAGAAGTATTGTTTCTTGCTTCCTTACGATCCTGCAGCAAAAGTCAGGTTTTTTTTCCTGCTCCTGGGACTAGCAAGTCTTGCCTAGCTGCTCTTGGAGAGTCAGTTGCAGGTCCCTTTGTACTGCTGACCTAATTAATAGCTAAATGTAATTAAAACTTGAGAAGGAATGCTGTTCTGTTGACTGATTTTGTCAGGTGAATGCAAGGTTTTCAGTATGCTCTTGGAATGTGCTGGATGCTTACTTGCTGCCATTTACACAGTCCTGCCCTTACTTGCTTGCTTTTACACTTGAATAAGCAAGATCTGCCCCCTGAACATCAACTAAAGCAAAAAGTCTACTCTGCCTACCCAATAACCTGTTTTTAATAAAAGATAACTGTACCTTTTACACAGAAGGGAGCCCATTCAGGATGAGTTACTCGGTTTTTCCCTGTTTAAAATTACTGATTTTCAATTTCATATATAGTCAGAACTGTCAGCGACTTTGGACTACAATGGCCCAGTCATTATTTATTTCTCAATATCCCTCAGAAGCAAGGAATTATTCAAGGCACAAGTGCATTTTACAGCCTGCCACACATCTACTAGAATATCACGGAGGCAAAGAGCATGAGAATCGCCAAGGCAAATACAAATACAATTATTGCTTTTGTGCCTAAGCACAAAGATTACCTGTTTTGAAAAGGCAAAAGATTTATGTGTTTTACCATTCACAAATATGTATACAAGGCTTGGGTAACCTAACCTGTCTGTTAGGATCTCCTGAATGTGCAGACCGTGGGTTTTGTTTAATAGAAATTGTAAGTCAGTGCTGAGTAATACAAAAGGCAAGTAATTTGCCATAAACATTTGAAACACATCTATATATTGATAACCTGCTATGCCAGTAGCAAATTGGCTGCTTAGAAACAGACAAACCTGTGACTTTTTGAAGCAACACTAATAACCAGAACAAAGGCTTCATAGTCAAGATCTTATCTACTGTGAATGTTTTTTTAAAGCAAGATTAATATGACACACATAAAAATGTTACACTATCTAAACAACTTATTCAAAGACAATTGCAAGAGCTGGATTCAACAAGGAATCTAAGAGTGAGCTGATAGGATCACCTCTTCTATATTTCACAGAATCAAAAAACAAAATACTACTTTTTACACCTATAAGAACTCCCTTTAGATTATTTCCCCATCCCCTGCCTTAGTCTTTTTATATACGTCTTTTCTGCAATTGCTCCACTGAAAGTACATTCACAAGAGGTAAATGCTTATTACAAAAATTTAAAAGTCAGCAATACTGTTTTATATTGTTATAAATATATATAACATTATAACATGCAAATCTTAAACATTCATTACACTTCATTTTAAAAATTCATTTTTAAAATCAGTTCACTACTGGAGAGGATTGCTCACTAACAATTCACACCTTTTTATTCACAGTCTTGCTCCAGTATATCATGTAAAATTTATTTATTTATTTATTTTTCGATTTATATCCTGCCTTTTTCCTACAAAGGGCTCAAGGCAGCTTACATCTCCTCCTCCATCTTATCCCCACAACAACAACCCTGTGAGGTAGGTTGGGCTGAGAGTCTGTGACTGGCCCAAAGTCACCCGGTTGGTTCCATGGCCGAGCGGGGACTCGAACCCAGATCGCCTGAGTCCCAGTCCCTCGCTCTTAGCCACTACACCAAATAAGTCTGCAAACACATCTGGGGTGTCATGGTTGGTCTTTGGCACATGCAAGCTTTCATAACTGAATGTGTTTAACTCTGAGAACACCAGAGCATACACTGCAAAACTTTTCAGTTGCAACTATATGCTCCTTACATGGAAAGAAATCTCATTAAACCTAATGGGATTTACTCCTAAGTAAACAGACAGAGGTCTGCACGGTCAATTTATCAATGCGCTTGAGTATGTTTTCTACTATGTTTCTTGGATTTTATCTTTAGAAGCATTACAAAAGGACAGTATCGAAATGGTCTCACAAACACACACCCCAAGTTACTTCTCAAAGAAACAAAGGTGTATATTTCTTTGTTGGTTTTGCTTTAACCATCTCTCTTAGAAAGATGTTAATTTGCTTTGAAAACAGGGTGAAACTTGGACATAAACCGACTGGATTAAGGGCCATTAGCTCAAACATGCCATGCTCTCAGAAACTGTTTTATAAGCTAAATTACATCAGCATGACTTGGATATGTCTTCGGCTTCGGCGAATGTGGCGGCATAGAAATTTTCTAAATAAATAAATATCTTTCCCCCTTTTTTTTTGCAAAATTAACTATCCCACAGACGATTCAGCTGTTAAAGTTTGGCTGATGGGAAAGAGTAGCCTGGTCATTGTCTTATCCACCATTCCAAGATTGGGACCACTGTCCGTGCACTCCTTTGTAGACAAGACATAACTAGTAAGCAATAATATAAAACTATACCCCACAAAGCCACTCAAAGAACAATTGCAGCTTTGCGACTATGCACAATAAAGAAGATTAATCAGTAGACAGTCAAAGCAAACATTTACAAGATGTTAAGAACCACATCACTTTGCTTCCACAGCTATAGACCTATGCACAGGAGAAAGGAAACTGGTAACAGGAGACAGACAGACAGCATCAAGCACAAATGGAGAGCACTCAAGAATCAATTGTCATATACTCTGAATACATTTTCTGAAAATACAGCTGTCCTAGACATGACAACCCCAGTAATCATTGACTAATGTCAACACTGTAGTAAAGCAGATGCTATAGAAAAATGCTCTAATTATACATTTAGGACACTTTTCTGTTTTTTGGTATGAATATATGAAGAGTAGGGTGCAGTAGTTTGCACCTAGGCATGCTACAGAGGTACAACATGGCTGGAACATCTGCAAATGGCTCATGGGGATAGCAATTTTCAAATGCATTTATTGTTCTAGTATTGCTAGTGAGATGCTAATACTGAGTGGAAATGTTAGTGATTTTTTAACGGATGCAAATAAATGGCAGCAGAACCCTAACAGGACCACAGCTCAGCTGATGCATGGCATGGCAGGACCCTGTTGCAATTGTGTATCCTGTTAAATAAGTTTACTTAATACATTATTAAAACATACATAACTGGGTGAAGGCCTGGATATGCAAAATACACATCTTTGTTCAAATACATCTATTTTGATATTTCCCCTTGAATTCATTTAAATAGTAAAAGGTAAAGAACAGTATACGTGGTAATTCAATTCATTCCCTTTGTGTAGCATAGTTTGCTATTACAAGTGGCCACCGACACAGAAGATAAGCCTGAATAACGCAAGTAAAATCAAACAGGCAATCATGCCCCTATTGGGAATAGCATCTTTCTTGCAAGATAATACCATGCTGATAGATGGAATGTGCTCTTAGAAGATTTTGCCATTCTCTGGGGTATCACAGACTAGTGCCAGCATGAATGAACATACAAGCCTTTCTGGATTAGACCAAAGACCTATTTATTCTAAATATCCCATAGAGACCAACAACTGGTCTGGCTACAGTGATGGGTTGGACCAACAAGTAGAGGCGTGATCCAAAAAGATAGAGGCAGTGGTGGTCAGTAGTCAAACTAATCTGGGAATAAAAGTATAGTCACTTTGGAAGGACCAGGCCCACACTTTGGGGATGCTCCAATATCTTACATTGCTGTTGGATATACAAGTGGCAACTACACCCATGAGTGCATTTTCCAAGGTTTGAAATGTTCATTCACTGCATACCTTCCTGAAGGAGGTCCTTCTGGCTACAGTTACATATGTTAGTTGTAGATTAAATTACTACAATGCCTTTACTGCAATACTTCCAAAAAAGGTGCTTAGAACTGCAGCTGAGGAAAAATGGGATAGCCTAAATGCCATCAGGGGGCCATTTTAAGAAGAAACAATTCTGTTTCCTCTTAATGGGCTTCTGTTTAATGCTCCATTGACTTGTCAAGCAAGTATTAATTCCACTCCACTAATGTTTATTTTCACTAGTATACAATGTGGTTAGTGTTGTCAGATTACCATCACTAGATATTGCCCTTTGCCTGAAAAATCACACATTGAAAATTGATGCAGGTATCAAACCCCCAGCAATGAGATTAAAGCATAGCTTGATACAAATAGCTAGATGAAAAACAACTTGAGATTTTCTTTTAAACTGCCCTAAGCATCCACACTATTATAGAATACATACTTCCCCCACCACAGATATTAAACTCAATAACAGGAAGTTTAATAAATTAAACTGCTCATAAAGGGTGCTGCTAAAATCAAAAATTGGAGGTAGTCTGGCCAGGTGTGATGACCAGGTGGGGATATCAAACAATATACCCTTCCAAAGAGACATATTTAAGCATGCAGAAAATGGCTGAACAGCAAAAGCTTGCGCTTGTTTAAGAAAATGTAATGAGAGGCTTTTCTAATACAAAACATGTTCTACTTAAAATGGGCTAAAACATGAGCAAATGCATAAGATGCCAATGCAACAGCCAATGCCAAAGCAATCCAGCCAAATTGAAATGGGGACCTTCCCCCTCCCCCACAAACACAACCCTCACAAAAGATCAGCTAAAAATCAGAACTGAACCAACCCCTCATCTTCATAAAGGTACTTGACAATTCCCCAGAGGATAACAAACAGCATTGGCACACCTGGAAAAAGAGGAAACAAGATAAGCACAAAGCATGAGACACAAGGAAAAAGGAACAGTAAAGTGAACCAAGCTTCTTATATATGAGCTTCTTAATTCTTTAGTTGCAATGAGAATGCAGACAGTATGCAGAGTTCATTACGCTTAGGCCATCTGAGAATTAGCTGATGGCTTTTAAAAATGAATAGACCATCTCCCTCTCTCTGAACAAATGTTCGTGTTACAAAATCATAAGCTAGATGCGTTCAGTTCAATCCTATAGTTCAATTTCATTAAACATTTTGAATAATGACTCCTAGATGCTTGAAGCTGTACCATACTGCATAACATGCACACATATGCTTGGAAACAAGAAGTTCAGAGAAATGAACTGTTCCACTGTCACAGTGTCTTAAATTATTGCTGGTACAAATTACAGAAACAGCCATCATTAGAAAGGTGGTCACATAATTCTGGTAGACAAGGAAAATTCAGTCTTTTTGGATTATAGGATACACAAAATGCAGTCCATGTTCAACAGCCCCTCTCCACCCTGCATGGACTTTATTGATGCTGTGGTTTAAGAAATGCTGTTACTGCTGATGGACAGATCTGAAGTAGGCTCTTATATGAACAGGGTCAAAACTGCTCAGACTCACTAGGCAGAAGATTCAATGTGGGATCTTTCCCATAACCTCTATTCTATGGCTAATAAAATGGAGTAGCTGGAAGAACCACCAAATCTCTGAAGGTAAGATGACCTGCTGGTTTCTGACCACCACCTGTCCTGCTAAAACTGGAAGATGGTAGTATTATTGATGCAAGCTGTCTCCACAAAACCCGTGCATGGATGATTTAGTTCAATTCAACTACTGAGTTACAGACAGTCACTACAGAACAAGGCTATAAAAACAAGGAAATACCTTTTTGCATTTAAACTTCTTATTCAAATTTTACTCCCTCTTATACAATCCAAAGTGAGTTAGGTATCATTCTAGGACAAAGAACTGTTAAAACATGCTGCGGTACACACAAATCAGCCTCCGTGTCCTGTGAATCAGCCTCTGTGCGCACAGTAGCCCCTAGCTGTAGTAGTAACTAGCTCTAAGAATACATACAACTGAGTACCACTGCTACTACCTCTACCACTTAGTTGCTTACATTCCTCAGCAGTACCTAGCTTCTTCAAGAAACAGAAGGAGAAAGCAGAAGGAAGATATTCCCCATTTCTTTGAGTTCCATCTGTCTATAGCAAGAGATAAAGTATGGCCAAGGAGGATAAGCGGGAAGGTGGTAATGTGATGGCAGAAATAGCAATACAGTTCCTGATGGTTGGAGCAGGGCTTTCCTGTTCCGATATTACACCAAATCACAATTTTGCACTACACAAATCTGGCAAAACCTCAAGCTTGGAAGAAACCTCCTCCTGTTCTGCAATTCCTTCCCTTATTGTCAATTATACTTTGTGCTATGCCTGCAAACCAGGATCTGATTCTGGTTTCTATTCGTGCCATTCAGGAAAGTAAAGAACATAGCTTGCCACGTAATGAGAGAAGAGGGGAAAGCATATGCCTTGACTCATTCAAAACTTGCTCACAGAAAAAGCTCCCAAGGTGTTCTTACTTCTTAACCGAAATTACATAGCAGCTGTTTTAGCCCCAAGAGCTGCTAGGCTTCTGTACATGCAAAGGCTGGTTTATTTATTTATTTTATTTATTCATTTTTTTATTTATATCCTGCCTTTTTCCTACAAAGGGATCAAGGCAGCTTACATCATTCTCCTCCTCCATCTTATCCCCATAACAACAACCCTGTGAGGTAGGTTGGGCTGAGAGTCTGTGACTGGCCCAAAGTCACCCAGTTGGCTCCATGGCTGAGCAAGGACTAGAAGCCAGATCGTCTGAGTCCCAGTCCCATGCTCTTAACCACTACACCACACTGGCTCTCAGGGTTTTGCACATAGGGTTTTGTGCAAATTCGACCACTGCCTAGACACAACAGAGTTTTACACTGAGTAATATGAATTTTGTATGTGTTTTGTGGTGTAATCAATGTTGCTAGACTAACTGGGTGAAAATTTCAAGAAAAAATTTAATCACACATATGACACCATCTTACCACTTTAAATTATATTAGTCCCCATGTAGTCTTAGAGAAATTAGCTACTATAAAAACAACAATGTAAGTTAAAACTCCTATTGAATTAGGAAGAAAAGCAGTACATTTTTTACTGTGCTGGAACCTATTTTAGAAAGTTGTGAAATTAGAGTGGTGGTAGTCTGGACAATAAGAAAATGTCCAGTAGGACCAGAGAATTGCTATCACTGAAGTTGTTCAACAAGGTTATTTACAAAGACAAATGACCAAGAACTTACTCAACCCAGCTGTGATGTCCATGAAATGCATTAGCAGTAACACCATGGATCATTTCCGAACCCAGACATGCCTTTAATCCAAGGAAACCTTTTTTAATTACTGTGAAAGCTACCTTTTTTGACTTTTCAAGGAATTAAAGTTGTATTAATACAAAGATCCAACCCTAGCTTTTGTAAAATGTGAGATGACCAAAAATGCTGTATTTCTGCAGAACAACAACAGATATGCAGAACAATAAGCACTATGATTTGTAGTAATTTTGATTTCTTGGCTATATCAGAAAGATCCCCATATTTTACAGTGTTACCTGATGTTTGAACTAAGTGGAACCCATTTACTAGAAATATTTTAAACAAGGACAGACCAGATAAAGCTATTTATTTATTCATTTATTTAAAGTTTTTCTATGCCGTCCCATTACTAAAAGTCTCTGGACAGCTTACAAAAAAGAAGCAGTCCACTTGTTTGCTACTGAACAAACTTATTTATTTATTAAAACATTTTTATGCCGCCCCATTCGCCGAAGCCTCGGGGCGGCTTACAACAATAAGTTAAATCATCATACATAACATTTTGAAATATATACATTAAAATAAAATACAAATATACAATATAAAATAAGCCGCCCTGGCCAGATAAAATTCAATAATATTAACATTTAAAATGCTGCTTAAATAAAAAGGTCTTCGCCTGGCGCCGAAAAACAAATAACGACAGCGCCAGGCGGACCTCTCTGGGGAGCGCATTCCATAACTTAGGCGCCACCGCTGAGAAAGCCCTCCTCCGAGTAACCACCCTCCTAATTTCTTTCACGGAGGGCTCCCGGAGAAGGGTCTCTCCCGCCGATCTCAGGGGGCGGTTGGGCATATATGGATGTAAGTGCTCCTTCAGGTAACCAGGACCCAAACTTCAGCACTCTGACTAGAATTGTGTTCCGGTTACCTGCTAATAACTATGATTCTGTTCTTATCAGAGTGAGGAGCAGCTACCGTGAGACTGTTTTAGCTTATCCATGCCATAAGATGTTAACATCAATAAACTGTATACAGTTACAACAGTCTGGTTATAAAATACCTATCAGCACAAGAGTGTGCATGTATGCTTTACTACCAGTAATGAATGGGCATGAATTCCTTGGGCATATAAACTGTTTAGGTGGAATGGACCAAGGTGTAAAAGTTGCTCATCAGTGGTCTGTTAGGCCAGTAGCTATTCCAGCACATTGCCTGTAATATTTCCTCTAACTGAAAATGCATCTGGCTGAGTGCTTGTAATTTTGTAGTGAGAAACTCAAAATAAGTCAGTGACCTGGTTTATATGACACGAGAGCCCATCATGGGTAACTAGCCTTGTGGGTTGTCATGTCAACAGACTCCACACTGCTTTCTCCAGAGTGACTTATCTGGGGGCAGCAAATCATTCTGATCACCATTCTCTCCCCAGAAATCACACCCCCACACATGGAGTATAATACTTGGAATATAACAGCATAATACTTGGTTTCTAGGTTAACTAGAGCTCTCAAGATGGGGCACTCTTCATTGGGGTGTACTTGTTTTAATCACAATTTTGTTAAGATTTTTTTTTACTGCTCTCTTCCCCAAAGGAAAACAAAATATAACAGTACCCTGAAGCTTCTCAGAGTTTGGAAACGGGGTATGTTTATAATATCCCCCTGCCTTAAATGGAGGGGGCAGGCTTATGCTCCAATTCAAATAGTGTCTTCCTTCCGAAAAAGCTTGCCACAGTGTTAAAATGTGGCAGTGTCTCACCAGGGGAACAGTTATATTTTATTTTCCTAAACTATTAATCTAAAGGTGACCACCTCTGGCTATTTCATCCTTTTAAACTTAATTATTTACAATGCATTCTCAGTGCAATTTGTATTGACACTTGTGATTTATAGCAAAGTCAAAAAAGTTGTTATCTCCCATGTAATTTGATCTCAACCCCCACCCTCCAGGGTTTCCTGGAAATAGATTATACAGTCATGTTGTCTCATCTTAGTCTTTAGTTATTGCCTGGATCGGTCAACATCCAGCCCTCTGTCTGACCTTTGCAAGTTAATTCATGTTGAGATAGCATTACAGCTGTAAGCTTGTTCCTGCATCTTTAGCTATTCCCATCAAGATGCTATCCAGAAACAACAAAAATATTACAAAGTGGTTTTTACTTCTTCGGTGAGTAAGGGGTAAAAACTGGAGGTGGGGCACAAAACAGCCAAAAAGCTTCTCTGGATCTATTTAGGCAAGTAAGCAATACTGAAAGTGTGCAATAAATTCCACTGTTAAAACAATTCATGATGTGAACAGATGTAGATACAGCTTTAAACTGTTTGAACTAGTTATCTAATAAGAGTTCTTATCTGGCTTATATTACTATATAATTGCTTTATAAAATCAATTGCTTTCTCTATCAAATTGTTGATAGAAATCCTTTTGGAAGCTATTTTCAGAAGAATGGCAACAGCTGGATGACTGTTAAGGTTGGTGGTCCAGGACACATGGCCCTCCACATGTTGTTGAACTTAAACTATCATCAGCCCTGGTTAAGGTGGCCAACAGCCAGGCCAGGAATCACTGGCACTGCAGTTCAACAAGATCTGGAGTGCCACTGCTTCCCACCCGTTTTTGGACCCGGGTATTA